CATAGATGAAAGGAACACTTAAAAGGTAAGGGCTCAAGCTACAATGCCCTCTAGATACATCAACAAAAGATTATTAAAGCTTATATATTTTACATAAATGCAGATTGCTTGTAAATTTGATATATCTCATTAACATGTAACCATATCAAAAGATGACAATCACAGTTTACAAAAATATACTTGTGAATCATCATAATAAAAGGCATAAACACCTTTCGTAATCCCTGTCAAATTATACTCTTTCCCCTGTAGGCCTTTACACATTTTGCAAAAGTTGCAAATTTTACCCCAACCAATGTTATAATAAAAAATAGCATCAGCAATCCGATTTAAGAGCCTTACTCTTATCTCTCTACTCAACTGCCTACTATGACTATCCAATATTAACTGTAAATATTCATGAATCCTATTTACATAAATAGCATAGCTTCTAAATTTGGGCTATAAAGAGACAACTTGGCCAAATTCAAGAAGTTCAACACAATCATCAAGAGGTTATGTATTATTGTGCAACAACCATAATCCTTCCTAAGACAAAATATAGGGGATGGAGTGTGCATGAACAAAATATATGCCCTTTTTTAATCTATTTTGTTTATATATTTTACATAAATGCTGATTGCTTGTAAATTTGATATATCTCATTAACATGTAACCATATCAAAAGATGACAATCACAATTTACAAAAATGTGCTGGTGAATATCATAACAAAAGGCATAAACACCTTTCACAATCCCTGTCAAATTATACTCTTTCTCCTGTAGGCCTTTACACATTTTGCAAAAGTTGCAAATTTTACCCCAACCAATGTTATAATAAAAAAAAGCCTCAGCAATCCGATTTAAGAGAAGCCTTACTCTTATCTCTCTGCTCAACTGCCTACTATGACTATCCAATATTAACTGTACATATTCATGAATCCTATTTACATAAATAGCATAGCTTCTAAGTTTGGGCTATAAAGAGACAACTTGGCCAAATTCAAGAAGTTCAACACAATCATCAAGAGGTTATGCAATATTGTGCAACAACCATAATCTTTCCTAAGACAAAATATAGGGGATGGAGTGTGCATGAACAAAATATATGCCCTTTTTTAATCTATTTTGTTTATGTTCAAATAATGAAACTGAGAGTATGTTGTTGACATCGCTCCAACTCTTCCCACAACATGATGAGGTTAACACTGTAACGTTAATTGAGAAAAATGAAATTTTGAGACCGTTAACCGGTTAACCATATAGGTTAATCGGTTAACACTGTGAAAACTCAGAAAAATACTTAAGTTTAAAGTGTTATACCAGTTCCAATTAATTTTAAAAACAGGCATATGCAATATGTTGATATGATGAACTATTTGAACACTTGTCTATCAATTAAAAGAGTGAGTTTTGATATACCAAAGTCTTGTGTCCAAGTCTTCAAAAAGTAGACGATCATTTGCACATGAAGCTTGATTCGCATGACAATATTCCATTGATGATGCGTAGCCTTGATCTTGATCACTTTGAAAGCTTGACTTTTTGCAAACACGGAATGAGCTTAAATCTTGTTGACATCATCAAAACTTTGAGATTGAAGTATGCTTCTACATTCTCCCTATTTTTAATGATGACAATCAAATGAGTCTGTGCGATATCTTTGACGATGTTTCGTTCCGTTCTTGGTTTGATTCTTCTCCCCCTATGTCCAGCAACTCCCCCTATCTAAACAGAGGCAAAATTCTGCACAGGGAGATATCAGAAAACCAAGCTCTTCTCCCCATTTGTCATCAGCAAAAAGGAAGGAGCTTTCAAACCATAATAAGCAATATCGGCAAATATGAAAGCATTTAATCAAGTAATAAGTAATCAAGCAAGGCATACTGGAAAAAAATGTAGCAATTGAAAAATGCAGGAAATATTGTCTGAATACATAACTAAAAACTTAAAAGCTTAAACATAATCTGAAGGAAAAACAATAAAAAACAACGGCACATATTTTCTAAACATCATGATCAGACATATCCTCATCTTCAGCTTCCTCTTCTTCACTACCTTCCTCTTGTTCATCGATGTCGGTGGTTGAATGCTGGGAGGTAAGTACAAGGTTGCGAAGAGATGCAATGGCTCGGGAGGTTTCTATGTGAAAGTTCATATTCTCTCTGTGTTGGTTCATCATTGTGGTGTAGAGAAACTCATTAGTGATACCTCCTTCGGGAATAGGATAGGATTGATTGGAAGCTGATGATCCTTCGTCTGCATACTTGTATGCGCCGTCTGCGTCTTTAATTATTCCGGTGTTCTTCACAATGGCGATTTCATTGATATCGTTGGTTGTCGGTTTCATTTTGGTAGATGGTTCCCGGTTGAGATCCAACCAATCCTATCCTATTCCCGAAAGAGGTATCACTAACGAGTTTCTCTACACCACAATGATGAACCAACACAGAGAGACTATGAACTTTCACAGAGAAATCTCCCGAGCCATTGCATCTCTTCGCAACCTTGTACTTACCTCCCAGCATTCAACCACCGGCATCGATGAACAAGAGGAAGGTAGTAAAGAAGAGGAAGCTGAAGATGAGGATATGTTTGATCAGGATGTTTAGAAAATATGTGTCGTTGTTTTTATTGTTTTTCCTTCAGATTATGTTTAAGCTTTTAAGTTTTTAGTTTCGTTTATTTAGTTATGTTCTCAGACAATATTTCCTGCATTTTTCAATTGCTGCATTTTTTTTTTCAGTATGCCTTGCTTGATTACTTATTACTTGATTAAATGCTTCCATATTTGCCGATATTGCTTATTATGATTTGAAAGCTCCTTCCTTTTTGCTGATGACAAAAGGGGGAGAAGAGTTTGGTTTTCTGATATCTCTGTGCAGAATTTTACCTCTGTTTAGATAGGGGGAGTTGCTGGACATAGGGGAGAAGAAGCAAACCAAGAACGGAACGGAACATCGTCAAAGATATCGCACAGACTCATTTAATTGTCGTCATCAAAAAGGGAAGAATGTAGAAGCATACTTCAATCTCAAAGTTTTGATGATGTCAACAAGATTTAAGCTCATTTTGTGTTTGCAAAAAGTCAAACTTTCAAAGTGATCAAGATCAAGGCTACGACGCATCATCAATGGAATATTGTCATGCGAATCAAGTTTCATACAAATGATCGTCTACTTTTTGTAAGTTCAGAGTATGCCTAAGAGGGGGGAGGGGGGTGAATTAGGTATGTAGAAACTTTTTCCGGTTTTTAGAGATTCTTGATAATGAAAGCAGTAAATAGCAGAAGGTAAAAGGACACAGAGATTTATAGTGGTTCCCTTCACAAGAAGCTTTTTTAGGAATATTGTATAAGAAGCTTTTTTAGGTCGAAAAAGGTTGTACAAGAAGGTTTTTTAAGTCAAAAAAAGGTTGGGCAATAAGCTATTCTCTCAGCAAGAAGCTCTAAGGCAAGTAGCTTGTGATGTTTCCCAAACGTGTTGGGTTGGAGCAGTGTCTGAGATACAACGGTCAATAATTTCTCTAAATAAATATTGGTCGATACTCTATAGATACATCTGATATCAATGAGTATTGTACATGGGTACGGGGTACAACACATGCTGATACTTGAGTGAATTGGGAGTGCCTGAGTTTCATCGGTAAGGTAAGCATGTAAGACTACCCTTAAACGCAATCCTTAATTGAAGAAAAGAAACATAATTGAATTTGGTATTGATCAAAAAGTTAATACAATTAACATCCATAAGAGCACACATTCAAATTAGTTTCAGCAAGCACCTTACTCAAAATTCCAAAAGCCTCGTCCTAATTAAAACATTATCCAATTCTGGTGATATAAGTCGCTAATAGGTACAATTACATACACATGCTAAAAAATTATAATATATAAAACATAATAAGTTCACGTTCATAACCATAAAAAACTTTGATAGGTAGAAGAGGCTTGAAGGTGAAAGATAAATGATAACCATAATTCTGTATAAATAACTTGCGAAAGAGTAAGAAAAAACTTGAATGGGAGGAAATTATGTTGCAATAATTTCTAACTGTATATTTGATCCAATCCATGATAACCATAAGTAAATTCTTCTTGAAAAATGGAATGATTTAATGTTGTCTTTACACATTCCTAATTGGTAAAAATAAAATAAATCAGAATTTAAAACTCATTAATGACCCACCCAGCCCAATTCACAGAATTAGGGTTCTTTTTCAAAAAGACCCTTGAAATCTGAAGGCAGACGCCTAAACACAGAAACGAGTCAGCTCTCTGAACTTGGACGAGTTTACCGAGTTTGAGTCTCCGAGTTCGCCGCCAAGTCAGCACGCCGGCATGAGTTTGGGACGTTAACTCGTCCGTTTTAGCGAGTCAACTCACGATTCTGCTAACCGACCAAGGATTGACATGACTGATATTTGAGGTTCCAAGGGACTAGAGTGTAATTTTCACAATCTAAAATCTCAATGACTAATGAGTTCTACTGCTAAATTTATGAGACGCAAATTTGGGGTTTGTAATAGGTGTCATTAAATTTTGCTTCAGAAATGAACACTTAAATTTATTTTCCATTGAGTTCTATAAAAATAATAATATACCTCTAGTAAACGATTCCCATAGAATTTTAGAAAATAAAGTTGTGTGCAGATCATTAGTAAACGATTCCCATTAAATGAACACTCAAATCAGTTAGCTAAATTTGGCCGGCAAGACAGATTCCAAGGGACTAGAGTGTGATTTTTACATTCTTAAATCTCAATGACTAATGAGTCCTACTGTTAAATTTCCGAGACACAAATTGGGGGGTTTATACTTATAGTGTGTATGTGTTGTTAAATTTTGCTTTAGAAACATGCAATCGAAACTATTTCTATTCAACTCTATAAAAATTAATAGGAAACCTCTAGTATTAGGAAATAATCATAGAAAATGATGCAGTATATAGTCAAGATATCACATCAGCTAATGCAGAACAAACCAAAAAGAAGCAAATGAGTTCCATTCCATAAAGTTTACCTTATAATAGCTCCATTGAGTCTGGTCACCGGTTTGGTAAGAGAGTGGGTTATCACTACAAAATGCGAGCTTTGCAGATGACAAATACAAGACTCCCATGACAGGTCCAGCAGAGGTGGAGAGGTAGCATGCATATGTTTTAAGAAGTTGTTCCTCGGGTACAGTCTCAAAAGTTTGTCTAAAGATTTTCTCATAACCACCTTCTGCCAGAACTTTTGTTCCCTGGGCAATCCTCCCCACAGCAGCATCCGCAAAACTAGGACCCGTTTTCACTGTTTCACGGAAAACCAAAATGCACATAACTAAATAAATTAGCACCCAGAAAAACAAGAAACTAACAGTACCTCAAAAAGAATGTTTAAGGCCACTTACTTAATGGTGTTTTTGGTTATCATTTTCATTAATAAAAATAAACATCACACAAGACATTACAGAAGTTTTCAAAAATGTATTTTAAAAATAGATTGAATAATTTTAATAAAATTAAAAATATAAATAAAATAAAATAAAACTCAACACTTTTTTTAAGTATTTCCGGAAATGCATTCTCTCTAGCTAGACCTTTTCTTTATCACCATTACAACAACATCAACCCAGACTTATCTCACTAGGTGGGTTTGGCGACATGGATCAACTTCTGCCTAATGTTTTATCTAGGACCGTACTTTTATCTAAATTGTTAATCTTGAAATCTTTCTTAATAACTTCTCTTACAGTTTTCCCAAATCTTCCTCTACCTCTAGCTATTTGACTCCTCTCCATCTGATCTACTCTCCTTACCACATAATCTACATGTCTTCTCTCTATATGCTCAATCCAATAAATTGTTTCTTTGTAAAGCATTTCTCTATCACCATTACAAAGAAAATCAACAACAAAATGTAAATTCAGGCATGCATGCACAAAATAAAAGATGAAAATTGAAGATACTCAAGATCCAAAGCATTTTTAGGTTAATGTTTTTGTTTTTTCAATAACTTAGATCAATTTGAATAATTCTTGACGGAAGTAAAAAAATTAAGATTGATGGATGATACATACAGTGCTGCCACATATTTCCAGCAAGATCCTCGGCTTTCTTGGTGGCCTCAGCCGCTTTCTTTCCCCATTTTCCAAGAACATCTTTCACCGAATCTAAAGTATCTGCGCAGAATCAGCGAATAGATAACTAGTTTAAGACGCGTGAAATGAATATGATAAAATCGGTTAGAAAATGAGAGATATAGAGAACTAACTCTTCGCAGGTGTGGGTGCGGGGACAGGCGCCGGGGAGACATATGGATTAGACTCGGTGGGCATAGTGGTGGCAGCATCGGTGGCGCGTGATTCGGTTGCAACGGATTGAGATGGTGGTGGTGGTGGTGCGACGTCGTTTGGGTCAATTTTAGGGTATGGAGCGTAATCAGAGGGGGTATGGGAGTGAGAGTCGGAGGGTTTGGTGTTAGTGTCGGCGGGTTGGACTTGAGGTTGATCAACACCAGTCATGTTGAATAAGGTCTTCTTCTTTTTCTTCTCTAAGGTTGAGAATCGGATTGTGAATTTTGAAACTCGAATCGATGGTTTTCTTTTCTCTTTCTATCTTACGTGTTTAGGACAACGTACCTGAGTGGGACTTCAATTCAAATCTCAAAATTGAATTCTCCAAAACTGTCAAATTTGTTTGACTGTTCGTTGCTTTTACTGGATCATGCCGCTGCTAATTACTTTGGTTGGTTTAAACAATTTATTTTATTTTTAAAATTAGGTTTCAGACGGATACGAGAGTGTCTATATGTCTGTTTTTTAATATTTAACCGTTTAAAAATATAAATATATTTTTTGTATGTTTATTTTTTTTAATTTAAATTTTATAGGAAAAGTTTGAATGAAATAATTGTGTAAATTACTATATAGCAAGCAGTTAATAAAATAGAAGTTAGTAAAAAAAAATTTTAAAATAAAAAATAAAAGAGTATAATTTGAATAAAAATAGACTACACCAAATTTAAGTTTTTCCTTTATATATGTTATAAATATCCATTTTTACGAGTATGTCAATAAAATTTCTTTGGTTGTTTTATAATAAAAGTGGAGGAAATAGATCAAGTGATTTTACCTGTATGTTATTTTTTATTTGAAATAAAATAAAAGTAGAAGTGATATGTAAAATGATTATCATCTACTTAAATATTTATCATATAAGAAGATAATTATTTTTAAAAAATCAATTTGCCCTCTTTTTCTTTCTCTCTCTATCTCTGTTCCTTCTTTTTTCTTCCTTTTTTTTCTTTTTTTTTACTCAATTTTTTGTAATCGAAATCAAACTTGAATCGAGCGAAGATATGCGACACACACGATGTCGCTTCGTATGGGGTTGACGAATCTGAAATTGCATATTGTTCGTCGTGAAAATTGGTGAAGAACCGTTAGTCTTCCAAATCGAAAAAGATTTGTTTTACTTGCAGGATCGACCACACAAATCCTAGGACATGTGCTAATTGATCTTAAACAGAGTTTGGAAAAACAATGAACACTTCGACAGAGTTCATCATGAAATAACTTGTTTCAAACGTAAATGGAAATGAACACGAAGGATTAAAGTCGAAAGATTGGTAAAAAATGTAGAAAGTAACTTGCATAAGAAAAGGATAAATTCTTAATGAAAAAGACTTATTGAATTGCATATGGAATGTAAAAATGGTGTTACATCAACATACATTCTCACAAACTCGTTTCTCTACACACGGGTACTTGGAGTATATTGAGGAATTTGTACACAATTAAACACACATAAATCCTAACACTAAGACTTGTTATTTATACTAATCGAAAATAATTGTCATCAACGGCTAGCGAACTAGATCGAGACAAGTGGTGTTCTGCATGTCTTCGATTCTTAGAAACGCTCAACGTGTCTTCTTTGAGAAATGGATATGAACGAACATTCCCTCCTTTATTTGAATTCAAATCTTCCTATCAAAATGTCTTCAGTAGCATCTATGTCGAATCACATTTTCCAATTGCTAGGAAATATTCCTAAGTCCATACTACCTCCTTGCAAAGGGACTCCTTCGACTCGCATTCCAAAAATATAGTTCTGGTCGAAGTCATTTGATTCTTCAGAAAACTTTATTACTTTCCTTTAATCCAATTCAGGCGTCAAAATTTAGAGCCAACAAATTGCCTCCCAAAAATGTCATTTTCGACATCACTGAAGAAAAAGGCATTTTTTGATAATGTTCTTCGACGCCTCGAACGACTTTTGCATGTCTTTGATGTCTATCATTATTTCAGAAAACCCATGATGCCATGATCATCATAACAGTTTATGAAACGTCTCATCAAAGCACGCCAAATCTCTAGCCATCATCACGTTTCTTAAACTTTACGAAATCGTTCGCTAGGCATTAACTGCCCACGTTCCATCAAACAACCTCGGTGGAACACGTGTCCTACTAACCATCAGCTCTTTAATGCTGATTTGAAGTCCCTTAAACTTCCACAAGCTTATAAATAGCTTCATACTTAACTATTTTAACTTTTACACTTCTCCGAAATCTTCAAGCATTTTCTTCTCTCTTCACTTTCCAGACCTTCAAAAAATACCCAGATTTCTTTAAACCTCAACAATGGCGTCTTCTGTAACACCCCCTTCTATACCCCCAAATAAACAATTAAATCACATAAGCACATAATAAATTTCATCAGAGTAAATTAAAATATGGTATAAAAGAAGTATGCCACATCATTCACCAAAATAACATACAACACCTGCTCTATAAAAGACATGCAACAGTGGGGTAGTTCAACAGAGGAACTTAGCCCTTACACCCACATCTCAATATTTAGAATTAAAGCGGAAAATCTAAACATTTAATTACTTAAAACATGTTATCATATAAATACATAATTCACTTTGGTTCACACTATCATTCATGTTTACAAAACATTACCATCAGATAAATACACAAAATGTATCTCAAAAGAATACTATACAAGCCTAACTACCCGGTGCTACATATCAGAACATAACCGACTAAAACGGATGAAGCTAAACTTCACAAAAGACCTCCAGCAACCTAATCTGCAATGCCTCATAGAGCATTATAAAATAGCAGAAGGGTGAGAAATATTATCATAATAATCAAGGCATATAGTTATATATACATACACAAGTATAGAACACATACATTCCACATTTCTCACCACAATTCATTCCAATCATCATATACATCACAACATATGTGTAAACAAACATGGATAATCATCAAACACATTTCATCATGCATACATCCATAATTCTCAATTCAATACTTCACATAAAGGTATACTTTCATTCAACAATACACATTAATCATGTGACTCAATGCAACTCAATGCAACTCATGTCATGTGGTACCAACACTTGTTATCATTTTTCGGTTTTTACACTTAAACCGGGTCCACCTTTCTAGACCGATAACAACAAAAGCCCGTTCCCTAAGCTTTCAAACCCACCCTTCTAGGTTTGAGACAAGTCACTAGTCTCCACGAAACTAGCAAACATTGCCTCTTGACTAAATGATGCATATGCAATCAACCACCGAATGCACTTAAGACCGTCTCGCATCTTAATCCCATGCATTCAAATAATTCATCACACAAGAATTATAACATGATTGCACACACAACATATTCATATATCATCAATACATTTATCAAGTAATGCACACATATTCACAATATGTTCTCATGCATTCTATTCATACAATCTCATACAAACAATATATTCTTAATCAATTCCACAATCTAGGTATCACGCCATAAGGCTATCCATAACATACATTTCACATTATACAATTACTCATTCCAACAAGGATCAAACGCAATCGAACAAAGAAACAACATGGAACAGAATCACAAGAAAACCAAATACTGTCACGCTCGCTGGCTTGCTCGCCTAGCGAGTCTCTAGCGAATACTCGCTATCTGTTCGCCTAGCGAACAAGCTCGCTAAGGCAAACAGAAGCTACTGAATTCGCTTGCCACCTACTCGCTGCAGCGAGGCCCTAGCAAATCCTTCGCCACCTCACTCTCTACCAGAGAACCAAATCAAATGCATTCTGTCCAAGTCTGGGACCTCTCGCTAACTTATTCGCCCAGCGAGTTGCTAGCGAATGTTCGCGACCTGTTCGCCTAGCGAAGGTGCTAGTGAACGTCTGCGAACTCAGAAATTCCCACTGTACAGAACTCCGAAACTCACCAAATCCACCTGATTCGATCTCGACTCGTTCCCGCAGTTTTAACTTAGCATTCATCGACTAAACTCTCCCACTTATTCTCATTTTCTACCGTTAAAACTCGGTTTCTATCGATTAAATCCACTTTGCCCTAAAATGGAAGTTGTAGAAAAACATCCAACAATCTAACCCAAGCATACATAATCATATACATTGATATAATAACAACATTTCACACCCTTACCTCGATTAAATCGATGCTTGAGAGTTGTTCTTGAGCTTTTCCAACTTTTCCTTCTTCTCCTTCTCTTTTCTCCTCTTTCTCCTTCTTTCTCTTATGTTTCTATCTTTCTCCTTTCTCTCCACTTTTTCTCTATATGTCTTTCCCTTCTAATTCTCTCCAACATCTATTAATTCATTTAATTAATCATACATTAATCAAACAATCCTCTCAAATTATTTAATTAATATAAATAATTAATTAGTGAAAATTGGGTTGTTACAACTCTCCCCTACTTTAGGAATTTTCGTCCTCGAAAATGTTACCTGGTTCAACAAACTTTGGATAAGACTCCCTCATCTGACTCTCCAGTTCCCAAGTCACACTTCCACCAGTCGGTCCTCCCCAAGCGACCTTCACCAAAGCAATATATTTGCCTCGAAGTTGCTTCAACTCTCGATCCTCTATCCGCATAGGTGATGTCTCCACAGTCAGGTTATCTCTCACCTGCACATCATCTACTTGGACTACATGAGACGGATCCGCAATGTATTTTCTCAACTGAGATACATGGAACATGTCATGAAGATTAGCAAGCGACGGCGGCAAAGCGACACGATAGGCTACCTCCCTTATCTTCTGCAAAATCTGATAAGGACCAATAAAACGCAGCGTTAACTTACGCGACTTCAATGCCCTACCAACACCAGTCATATGAGTAACTCGAAGAAACACATGATCTCCCTCCTGAAATTCAAGTGCCTTCCTCCTCTTGTCATGATAACTCTTTTGACGACTCTGAGAAATATTCATCTTCTCTTGAATCATCTTAATCTTATCGGTAGTCTGCTGGACTATCTCGGGTCCAACCACAAAACTCTCTCCAGATTCATACCAACACAATGGTGTTCTACACCGTCTACCATACAATGCCTCGAACGGTGCCATACCAATACTCGAATGAAAACTGTTGTTGTAAGTAAATTCAATCAAAGGTAAGTAGTTATCCCAAGCTCCTTCATTCTGCAACACACAGGCTCTCAAAAGATCCTCAAGTGACTGAATCG